ATCCGAGAGAAAATATGAATAGTCTAGGACACATTTAATATTATTGACGATATTCTGTGATAAAACACAGCTGGGGGGGTCAGGATTCATGTGTTTATTTGCTTATTAAATTGATTACACAGTCAGGTAGGAAACTAAATGCAGTTTAGTGGTGAAGGATTTTGAATATGCCCTTGGCTGTTTGTTTTTATATTTTAAAAAGTGATTGGATCTAATATTTGTTCAAAAAACGTTGCTTATCAAAGTAGCCAAATTTGTAGCCCTTCCCTTCAGAAACTGGCCTTCTGGTTCATTCAGCCTCAGCTTATGCTGAGGTGGGAACAGGCTGAAAATGGGAGTGGGAGTTGCATCTCTCTCAAAGACTAATTCCACGCTTGTATTTTTAAAGACGTTGGTTGGCACATTCCTTCTCTTTGTGTATGGATCTGCTGGAGTGCAGGAGCCTGCTGCACCCCTAGGAAACCGTGAGCACTTGTGAGAACTTAATTTTAATTGGCTTAATCACTTTAAAAGACCGGCCTAATAGAAATAGGGAGGGGAGCCCTAGAAAGTACTACCAGCTTTTAACGACTTTAGAGTGAAACATATGGATTATTTTAGAAACAAAGACCCTAAACCAGGCATTTAATTGAACAATCTCTTTATTTTTCTTTCTTCCCATTTGTATTATGCTTAAAACAAGAGAGCCCCATTTGAGTTAGGGAAATGTTATCCTTCGAAATAACTCCAGGAATCCAGCTGCACCAAGTGCTTCAACTTCACACCCTCCACCCTAAGTAATGAAGACTCAGATTCCTATCAAATTCGCCCTCCTGAAAAATTGTAAATTAAGATGCTGTTGATTGTATGTGGCCGGCTGTTTTAATCATAATTACCACGCTCCAAATCCAATCATCAAGGAAAGGGAGCCGAGCGGATGCGTTGGGTTTTTGGCGCGCGCTGGACTGAACTCTGCAGTCCAGCCTGCGCTTTTCAGATGCTTTTGCAGGCAACAGGCGATGCGCGTCTCTCAGGAATAGTTAGGGAGCCCCATCCCCCAGACCAGACGCACCGAGCCCCGCAGACGGCACTCGGCTGTCCAAACGCGCAGCGGTGCGTTCAGTTCCAGTAACTCGCGTGATGATTAATGAGGGGCTTGATAATTTAATATCGCATGTGATTAAATTATAAGGCGTGGGGGAGGGGAGCTCTGCGCCCGGGCTGCCCGGGTGGATGCCGCCGACCGGCAGGTCTGGCTGCGCGCCGAGCCGGCTCGCTCTGCACCGCGCCTGGCGAGGGTCGCGCCGCAGTCTGCGCCTTCCCGAGGTCAGTGGGGTTGGAAAGGGCTGGGGACCGTGACTCGCCAGGGGATGGGAGGCGTGGGCATTGCATCGCTGAGGTTTGAGCCGCTGGAAGGGTGAGCCAAGGAGCAAGACAATAGCTCCAGGCAGGGGAAGCGGTTTGGAGAGTTTCTGGCACCCCGAGACCCTGGGAAGAGGGGGCGCCGGACCTGGGCCCCGCCTTTCGCCCACCTTGACACGGAGTGGGTTTTCCTGGGGACCGGATCAAGCTGGGGCACGCGGTGAGCCCCTGAACGCCCCTCTCTTCCCCCAGTGGGGCTCACTCGGCCGGGAGTCAGGCACGTCGGGCATGGCGAAGGAGGCGATGAGTGTTTAATGCCGCAGTGGAGGCTGTGGTTGCGGGAGGAGGAGATATCCCAACAAAACTCGGGGTACAGAGTCTGGGGTCTCCAGCTTGACTCCACGGGACCTTGAGGTTCTCCAAGGGGTAGTGACTCTTTCCTCCTTAGATGGTGGAGGACAGCCGGGCGTGGCCACCTCTTCTCCAGGAGAAGAGAAGGGGCTCTTTTCCCACATGGTCCTGCCACCCGTGGCGTGAAGATCATCCCAGAGAGGTAGGTGGTGGCTTCTGCCGATGCTAAGCCCCAGGTCTAAGCACGGAGATGGCTTCCGAGGGAGACCTGGGAGCCACTGGCAGTACACAGAGCGGGTCACCTCTTATTTCGTGATGTCATTGTAGGGCTTAACAGCCTGGTAGGTGGGCCCCCCGGGCTCAAGGCCGTCTCCATGACCCTAAGAAACTGCACTCAGCGGTGTGTTCAGACCCAGAGCTGGAGGGTGAACCTTGAAGCATCAAGACCAGGCCGTGCCCTGGTTGGATTTTCAGCCAGGAAATGGCATCCGGGAGGGGACGCCGCAGGCTGAAACCACACCGCACGCTCGCCTGCAGCCAAGGCCAGGGAAGGGGCCAAGACCGCTGTCACCCGTGCGGTGACCGAACCTCCGTGCAAAAAGGGAGGGAGCCTTCCTAGGGCCAACTCCTTGTGTATGCAGAAATGACCTTTTCTTCCTGTTTCTTGGGCGACTTGGAAGTGCTGTACCACCAAGAAAGAGGGACATATCAGGAGCAGTCAAATGGGCTTATAAATGGAGGTCACTGTGCCGGACTCCTAGGCCTAGGTATTTGTGTGTATCTATGTAAGTTTAGATATGTATGTGCTTATACACATAGACAGATATTATAAACTCTCAAAATACTTAGAGAATGAAAATGAGCCTACCTAGCTAGAACAGAAACAAGCCACCCATTGGTTCCAAGACTCAACCTCAGGCAACCCTGGCCAAGTGTAGCTTAGACCTGGGACGCTTGGGCTCTAAGGAGGCCACTGTCCTCAATATGAGTTAGTCCTACAGTAATTGCAGAGGGTTTAGGGGGCGAGGCCACCTCTACAGCCAAAAGTAGAGAACAGATGGGCCTGGGTCCTACCTGTGCACGCCCCGCGCCACCCTGGTGCTGGCTTGCCAGAGGGCCAGCGTGCAGGGCCCTGCATGCCAGTGCCGCCCTTTGTTAAAGTCCTTTCTTACAGTTCCTCCCAACCGGTGCTTGTCTTAGACACAAGCTGACCCCCAGATTTGGTTCTACATAAAAAGTGGCCAAACCCACAATGGACAATTCAAAAGTCTAGGGCCAACCTTGTGGTCACCAAAGATCTCTCTCTCTCTCTCTCTCTCTCTCTCTCTCTCACACACACACACACACACACACACACACTATGGCTTAAACAACGTGAGCCTCATGGAGACAAAGCCTTTCTCAGGCATTAAAGGAAACCGGAAACCGGACTAGAGTCCCAGACACAAGTGTGTCCTTGGATAGAAAGACTCCATGCCCTCAATGTTAACATGGGGACGTGGGGTATGACAGATGCCAACCGGGTTTCGTTTCCCAGATTATGGTCAAGCTGTTGCCTGACTGGAAAGGATGCCAGGATATGAATGATTCCCAAAATGGCGAGAGGAGGAAGAGTTAGTTTTATTCTTCCGAGATCCCTCAAGTCTGAAGATTTCAGAAGACACCTACAAAAATGACGTCGAAATCGGTGGCGCATCCGTGGCATTGTTCGCGGACGCGTGGGGACGCGGGCCGCTCGGTCTCTCTCTGCGTCCGGCGCACGAGCCAGCAGTCAGCGCATTGATTTCACCCCGAGTCTCCGCCCTGCTGCCGAACATCATTTAGGCCAAGATCGGGATAATGGGAAACACCATCAGCAGACAATTACCCTTTCAGAGGATTCACTTCTCCTCACAGACACTGTTATTTGAGAAATAGGATCATTTGATTTCATACTGCACTAAATAACACCCAGCCGGTTCAAATTGCCAGCTTCTTAAAAACCGCCCATTGGAATAAATTGCAGCGGCCTCTCTTGCTTTTCAGGGCAATATGACTGGCACTGGGCAGAACTTGTAAAAATAACTACAAAGCCAGCCCCGAGCAGTCGCTATTGGTGGGAACAGCGCTGCCACCCCGCAAGCAAAGATATCCAGCCACTTTGTTCCTTGCCACCTCCCCCTCTGCCTGCCAACTTTGAGACGATTCAGCTACTTGGCTTTGGAATTAAAATGCACGGCCCCAGCCACACCGAGGATGTGCTTCTAGCCACCGGCGCGCTAATGTTGAGAGGTGAGAGAAGGGCAGGTGCGCCAGACAACAGATTTGGTTGCCTTCAGAGTTTTCGAGTTTGGAAACCGCGGCGGAGCTAGGGCCCTGCGGCGCGAGCATGCGCTCTCTGCAGTCCTGGGTCCCGGGTCCCAGCGCAGACAGTGACGCTGGTCTGCCCCAGAGCCCTGCTTCCCAGTGCGCCCTGCAGGCTTTTCTGCCCTCACCACCGGCGCCAAGCCGGTCGCCCAGGCAGGGTCGAAGTGTGGAGTCCGGAGGGAGCGAGAAGGCGAGCGGCGGGCAGCGAGAGACCCTTCAAAAAGATTTAAGTCTTTTGAAGTTGACCATTTGCTGTGGCTTAATTGACACTGCTTCACTGACAACTGTCCAGCTGGATGGGGGCGACCTATGCTCCCCACCTCAAATATATAACTAAGAGTTGACTCCTTGGTCCTTGTTCTTTTGTGCCAGGGGACAGGGTTAATTGCAACAGCGCGGGTTTGGGGGATCTGTCATGGAAGTCGTGGTACTCTTCTCCTTCAGGAGGCCGAGTTAGATTCCCCCTCTCCAGGACATATTCAAGGCCGGATCCTGAGGGCTCCCCGGTGCGCCCTACTCGGGTGTGTCCTGCAAGACCTGTTAGTGTCTAGGAACCCAGAGCCAGGTGGTGAGGCCTAGGGGGACAGGGAGGGAGCCTTTTCCCTTCCTTGGCACTGGGAGGAGCCAGGGAGCAGGGAGCTATGGGTGTGCGTCCAGAGGGAAGGTTCCAGGCACTCACAGAGTGGGAAACTAAGTTCCCTTTTTTTGGTTAGGCACAGAGTTTAGCTCCGGGCGAGGGCGTCAGTTGTGGGGACGACGGTGGTCCTCCCAAGATAGGGTGATGGGGGGTAGAAGCCTTCAGCCTGCCTTTCTTTTCCTCGGGGCTTGCCCTACGGCCCCACGGCCGCGCCCTTCCTTAGCACTTCGCCAAGTCACACTTCCTCCCCGCAAATAAAAGCCTACCCGCGAGGCCCAAGTGTACCCAGGCTCCAATCTGGGCCAAAAGTCTTGGGCGCTGCTCCCTAGTTCTGGAAAGGAACCGCGACGCCCGCCTTTCCGCACCGCCAAATCCGGCCCTCCGTATTCGGATCCAGAGCAAGCCTGGGGCTGCACCTCCCCCAGCCGTGGAGGGTCCGGCTCCGCGCTGTCCTTGCGCCAAGGCTGTGGCACCCCCGCCCTGTGCCGTACTGTGCCCACCCCGCGCGCCCCAACCCTGCCACGCTCAGGGAGGGCGCAACCAGGGACCCGTTCTTGACAAGGGCCAAGTCCAAGCGCAGCGGCTTTTCCAAGAGGCAGGAAAACTGGGAGCTTGGGGAGAACCGGTCTTGCAGGGATACAGAGTTCACTGCCTGTGCGAACTGAGGCGCTGAGCTCTTCAGAGGAACCGCCGCGCCGCGGATACCGAAACGCCGACGCGATGCCAGAATCTGGGGGCTCGCGGTGGCTCGCGGACTGCACCCCTGAGGACGCAGAAGGAGACTGGGATCTGCCTGGGGTGGGAGATTCCCTCCTCTCGCCTCTGTCGCTGTCAGGGCCAGAACCCGGGTAGCGTGGTAAACGAAGTTAAACCTCCAGCCCTGGGTGTGGGACGCTGGCGCCCGCGCCGTTTGAGCCTGGGAGCTTCTCTGGGCACGGACTCTGGTGGCGGCCCGCAGCTCAGCCCAGTTGCCCCGATTCCTGTCCCCACCTCGGTGCGGGTGCCAGTGCCGACCCCGCGCCCCTCGCCCTCGCCCGCGCTCCCTCCGCGCGTCGCGGTTACCAGCGCGTTTTGTTCCAGTGTAGGATTCCGGGCCGAGGGGCTGTCACCGCACTCTCCTCCGACGGACGCTAATCAAGTAATTTCCCCATCCCAGCCCCATCAAATTGCTCTTTAGCTGTTGAACTGCGGAGTTTTGCTCGCTTTTCACATGCTAATCACGCCCATTCAGCGGCTCTCGGTGGGGCTGTTTGTCGCGGAATAAATCTCCTTGTTTGCTCGCTGCATGATTAATTGATATTGTTGTCTGGCTTTTGTGGGGACCGCGAGGAGCTGAAAGGCGGCGCGTCCTGACTGCGCCGGGGCCCGCTGGCGACATCCTCGGGCTGCGGAGGTCCCGGCGAGGTCGTGCCGGGGCTGATGACATTATGCGCCCGACTGGGTTTTCCTTATTAGAGAGATGATGAAAGCCGAGCAGACCCCAACCTTACAACCTGCCACCCGGGCGCAGAAGCCGCCCTGCGCTTAAGACACAGGCGCAGACAAAGCCTGGGCGTTTGCTCAGTTCAGGGAAAAGAGTGGGTGTTACCGCTCCATGCAGGGGACAATTAGAGCTGACTTCGGCCCACCCGGGATTTCAGCAGAGTTGAAGAGAGTGCGGCGTAGGGGTTCGGGTTTCCAAGCAAAACAACAACAACAACAAAAAGTCTTTTTTTGGAGGGGGATTTGTAAAGACTGGTTAAAACTCTTCAAAGGAAAGGGAAGCCGGAGTTCAGATAGGGGCTTTGCAGGCAGAGGTGGAGGAAAAGGCGCGACAAGGCGCGTACACCTGGAACTCGCGCTTTTCCCTTTGCAGAAGCGCGCAGTACTGATTCCGAGTCACTAGCGCCCGGTGCCAACCCCCAGCGCCCGCGATCATCAAGGCCCAAATCCGCCTGCAAGCTGGTTTTATTTGCCTCCAACCGTCCCTGCTCCGCGCTCTGTTCCCCTCCACCCCAGGTGTGCAGTCAAACCAACAAATTCCTCCGCCCTCAGCACCCCTCCCGTCCTCTCCCCTGCGCCATGGGGTTTTATCCTCCACGGACATCCCTGAAAACTTGGAGATTCAATTAAATAATTCCAGTTACGCGGTGCTCCTACCGCCTGCTTATTGCAAATATTTCCTCTTTCGAGTTCTTAAAAAAGAAAAAAAAAAAGCAAAGAGAAGAAAAGAAACTGTCGCCTTCGCTTTCACTGCGCGCGGGGTAATTGATAGGCTCCATCAGAGGTCAGAATTTGCATAAGAATTAAGAGCAGTAAATTAATTTAATATTCCGTGCACATCTCCAATTATTCCTAGAGACCTTTGTCTCCGCGGCTGCCAGAGAGGGGATTCAGCTGCTCTTCAGCCAAACAACATCTGTGCGGTTAATAATTTGATAAACAGCTCATACAAATAGTTTCTGAATTATCTGACGGCCCAATGACTATTCAGTTTGGAAACGTTTTGGCAGGGTTTCCCGGAGTCCTCTAAGGACCTCAGGCGCCGGCCCTGACAAATGTCTTCTTATCTTTTAAACATCAACAGATGACAATGTGTAAAATAAGTCATTATCATTAAGCAATAACCCTATCCTTTAAAAAAAAAAAAAATCGAAGCCTCCTGGGTCACCCGGGTGCAGGCAGGTCCTCTATTAAGGTCCTAAGACGACTAACCAGGCTGCGGACTGAGCGAAGAGGAGCCTGCGGGAACAGAAGAGCTAGGGAGGGGCTGCCAGAGCCCAGGAGCTGTTTTTCTTGCTCCTTCGGAATTGAGTGACTGCACTTGCGCTTGTAGAATCTGTAAGGAAGGGCTCAGGGGCAACTGCCGCAAAGAAGGGCCCCGGTAGGTGAGCTGGAAAGAGACCAGCTGTCTACACACTGCTTCCATACTTTCTTTCATGCCAGTATTATTTATCCCTAAAATAAATACATACAATAAATGGAATAACCAGAAAACAGTGGGGAGCTGGATTTGGCTGGATTTCCTCCTTCACTGACTTATCCCTCTCCCCCTCTTTGGTCAATCCCTCCTTCCCACCTTCACCCCCAGCGGAGGCACCGTCACCCTGAAAGCAGTCCCCTTTCCCCAGGACCAGTAGGTGTGTGGAGAGGGCACCTCCTCCACACAGCCAGGCAAAACACTGAACTTGACCAAGGAGGGAAGGAAGAGACCAAAGTTATCCTGTGTCAGAACAGGCTGGAATTTAAACACTTACCCCTTGCCATTCTCATCACTAACACTAAAGAGTCCATGGTGGTGACTGCACTCTTTTATCTTTTGCCACCAGCAGTAGAACCTGTTCCTGACACAAAGTCTAGAGAGGAACCATTTGATCCTGAATGAGACCCAGACTGTTCTAATTCTTGCAACCTGTGCATTGTAGCTGTTTACTACAAATCTGCATTTCCCCTGGAATTGTTCTGCAGTGACTTCAATATAACAGGATGTTCCGTGAGGGTCTTTATCTCTCTGTCTATACATTCCCGCACGTTTGATGTGTACACCTCACACATTCAATATTCTACTTTCTATGTCCTGTGCTACTGACAATCTAAGTACTTGAAGCCACTGAGAACTACCCAGAAGTTCTGAGTAGTATCTAAGCAGTAATATGATAGAGCTTTGTCCTTGTACCCTGAATCCCAGGCAGCACTGAGCTTTAAAGACAGGGAAACCCTTCATGCTATAGGTCTAAATATACAACTTTACAATGAATACAATGCTTGCCCGGGCTCAATTGAAGAATTACTTTTCCAGAAAACAAGTCACTGTGTCACAGAAGAGGACAATAGAATTTCTACCAGGCACATATATTTCTATTTTTAACATTTTCTTCTTGCATTTCATTAGATCCTCCCCATAGAACTATAGACACCTCTGGGCCGTGCAGGCTTTTATATGCATACAAATCATCTCTGTTATTTACGATTGGGGGTCTCTGTCTGCATTCTTTTATTAATTTCTGACTTTGATTCAGACTTCTCTAGTCAGCAGAGTGATTTGAAAACATTTCTTTGCTTAAATGGAGCATTATCAATTCTTTTGGGAGCCATTCTAATTTTAAACACCAACATATTCAGTTTCTTAATCTGCAACTCTGGTGCTTACTCATTTTTATGCACACAACCTACCTCCGTTGGCAGTAGTTCATTTATGCTCCGTATTTATCTTCTTTACATTTGTTTGACTATTTTTCAAAGCAGTATATGGGTAGAAAATGGCTATTAAGCAAGAAGACAGGACTCTGATTATATTTTTGACTATGTAAGTAAAACCACAGAACATGGAAATTTTGAGGTTTTTTTTTTTTTTTTTATACTAATGAGCCCTCTCCAGAAAAGCCGTCTGGATACCATTAAAGTTGATGAGTTTGGAAGGATTATCCTGATAAATGCTTAGCTTTTTGGTGATTAGACACATATATTCAACACAGTCTGTTGAGACTGAGATCTGCATTATGTGGGAACTCTGTAGAGCATAACCAGAACTTTTTTTTTTGGTGTGTGTGTCGGGATCCATATTATCACTTTCTTGTGTAGAGTTGAAATCAGAGGAAACTGCTATGCATGTTCATGTGGACTTAAAAACTAGAATGGCAGTTATAGATGTGTTTGATAAATTAAGCAATACAAACTGGTAATTTCTAACCTGTCACAGATACCTACCTTCTACCTGAGGGACAAAGTTAGGGTGGCCAAGGGGCAGAGTGATGATGTAACAATTCAGTATAATCTCCATAAGGATGAGTATTGTTTTCCTTTTTGGTACTGAAGATTAGACCCAGGACCTTGTGCTTAAGCATAAGCATTCTACAACTGAATTTTTTTTTCTAGTTTGAGAGCTACAAACAGTGCAAAGCTATTCAACAAACTCTCCCAATAAACAGTCTTCCAAGTCATTTACACGCCTTGCCCTTTAACATTACAATGTACACATATATGGCTGGCTTAACCCCAAATCTATGAAATTTATTAATTTGTTAGATTTATATTAAAATTACAAATAGAATCATTTGGATAACCCTGTTTGCTCTCATTTTCTTCTGTTTTAATCTTTAAATGAACTGCACTTAGCTTTCTAGCACCTCCATACCTGTTGGCTCATGGGTCAGCAGAGGCCATAGAGACAAGTGCATGTTCTCCAGAGATGAATATAAAAGGTCTTTGACCTCCCTAGATGTCATCTACCCCCTGCTCTTCCCTGTCCTTCTCCCCACTGGGAGACAAACCAGGAGTTTGTCTTCATGTAACTTTAGGGGCACATCATTGTCATTATAGGTGTGTAAGGTTTTTAAAATCCTGTTCTGTCTAAGCCAGTACAGTTCCTTGGCAAAATGGTGCCATTTAAATATCCCTATCAAAGACAGCACAGGCCATCAGGAGGCTGGTTGGCTCTGCTTAACAGGAGGGGTCATAGGTAATGAGGGGTATGAGCCTTCTCTGCTATTTGCTTTGGCTAGAAGGTCTAATCCTGTAGACTGTACCTGAGAGTGGCTTCTACGAATGATTCTGCTTTGTTGCCTCTGTAATGAGAGGAGATGGACCCTGCAAAACACCAAACTCTTCAGTGTGACATTTGAGACTTGCTGTAGTTGTTTGCAATCAAAATGCTGATAGAAGGAAAAAAATAATAGCAGAAAAACATAGTTCTTCTTGTCCAGTAACTAGGTACAGGCACTTGGGCAATTACCTAATCTCCCTGTGTCAGACTCCTGTTACATCTTCTCACCAATTTATTTTCTTCGCCTTGGGCACTTGGCCGTTCAGTTGAACTACATTTCCCAAACTCCTTTGCAGCCACATGTGATACATGTAACAAGTTCTCACCAATGGCACATAGGCAGAAATGCCATGCTGGCCTGGGAATGATGTTAATGGAAGTCATGTATTCAGGATAGTAAAACTTTCATTAGCCTGGCTTCTCAAGAGGTCTTCCTAAAGCAGAGTCTGCCCTCTCACTCTGGACTGTTGTATAGGGGAGATAAATTTCTATTTTGGTTGAAAAGTTGCATGTTTTGGTTCCCTTTCTGACAGCACCCACTTAAAATAATTACTTCCTTGCTGTATATTTCTTAACTGCAAAATGACAGTACGTTGGTTTAGGTTTGTCCAAAAGCAACCAGTTTTTTGGAAGGTGATCCCAGGAGACACTCTAAGAATTGAGGGGCAGAGAAGGGCAGGATCTATAAAGTGCATTATACAGCAAATTACCATTGCGGGCAAACAGAAAAAAGTCGATTCTATTGGGACAACCTGAGCAGCAACATAGAAAACTTGTCTTATAGTGACTCCATCATCCTCAGACCTTAGCAGAGGACATTCTTTGCAAACACAGCTTCCCTAGCACCTCTGGCCTGTTGTTTGGGCCGTGAGATTCAGGGGGCAAAAAGAAGCTCTACAGCCATG